ATCACACTTGTGACAGTGTGACAACCCAGAGAAACCAGCAGAGCATTAGATTCACTTGGCCACAGACCACTGGTGCTCTTAAAAAATAGTATCAGTAGAAATGAAATTGCTTCCAGATTACTATGCCAGCTTGTTTGATTATTCAAGCTTCTTCCCCCATGTTTTGTAGCATGAACTTGTAGAACTATTGGACTATTTGCCTTTGTTTGCCTGGCCCTTCCAACGTTGTTCAGAAGTCTCTTGCTGCAATAAAATATTTACACTACCACCGGTGCTTCTCTAATATATATAGATTGATAGAGGACATTAATGTGATTCTAACAATACCAAATTTGTACATTCAATCTTCTTCCCCCACCCCCTGAGCTCGAAAATATAGTTGACCCTGCCAAATTTTGACAAAGTCCAAACTTGATTTGGCATGCGGCACCTCGACATTCGGCAGGGAACCTCACTCCACAACACCAAATTGAGTGCGGCACTTGTTTTTATGCAATTTGGGCATTCAAAATAGTATAATAGGTAGTGTTGCCGCGGCTTCGGCTTTTAGCTGGTTCAAGCCACAGCCGAGCTGAAATTAAAGCCGAGCCGAGCCGATTGATCTGGCTTGGCTACTGCTTGAGCCGGCTAGAGCCGGGATTTTCAGCCTCATCAACCACACATGCTAGCTCATTCGAAACAAATAAAATTGGCTTTTGTCTGTACATATTATTGAACTAGTAATAGAATATACTTTAAATGAACCTAAGATCATAGAAAATAGCTAAGAATTGCCTGAGACGGTGTGACAGAGTCACACACCCCAAAACAGAAAATGTAATATATCTCTGGAACGCAGACACGCAAACCTCTTGTCTCTTTGGGACCTTCAAACTACACTAGAATATGTTTTAAACGAGACATAGATCATAAGAAATGATGGAAATTTGACTGACCTAGGGTACTCACTCCCCAAAACAGAAAATGTAAGATATCTCCAGAAGGCAGACACGCAAACCTCTTGTCTCTTTGGGACCTTCAAACTACACTAGAATATGTTTTAAACAAGCCCTAGATCATAAGAAACGATGGAAATTTGACTGACCTAAGGTACTTGCTCCCCAAAACAGAAAATGGAAGATATCTCCAGAACGCGGACACGCAAACCTCTTGTCTCTTTGGGACCTTCAAACGACACTAGAATATGTTTTAAACGAGCCATAGATCATAAGAAACGATGGAAATTTGACTGACCTAAGGTACTTGCTCCCCAAAACAGAAAATAAAAGATATCTCTGGAATGCAGACACGCAAACCTCTTGTCTCTTTGGGACCTTCAAACGACACTAGAATATGTTTTAAACGAGCCCTAGATCATAAGAAACGATGGAAACTTGACTGACCTAAGGTACTTGCTCCCCAAAACAGAAAATGGAAGATATCTCCAGAACGCGGACACGCAAACCTCTTGTCTCTTTGGGACCT